GATGCTCCGCCCTCTGCCTGGCCGCATCCTGCGGAAACCTGAGGGTCCAACCCCTCGCCGCGGGGGACAGACAGGAAGGAAGGGAGGTTCACCCAGAGCCCGCGCGCGCCCCCTAGTCACCAAAGCCTGGGTTCCCTGTCTCCGCGATGATGGGTGTCATATTGGATCCTGGCCTCTCGCACATGGCAGTCAAAGGAAAAATGGCATTGTCTTGGTTCAATACATAGCACGGTTGTCACACCCAGGCTAGTGGCCCTGTCAGAATCGTTAGGCAGCCGCTTTCAAGACCCATAAACTGTTGGGGGAGTTGGGGCTTGTTTCCTCAGTCATGTAAAGGGCCAGCAAAGATGAAAATGTGAAAAGAGTCAGGAGGATAGCAGATAATCTCAAACTGCTAGCTAGTCCCCATGTCCAGAGAAGCCCCAGTGCTATGCTTAAGTGCCAGCGACTGCCCCAAAGGACAGACACGTGACATTGACAAAAGAGAAAGAGAAACAAGAAAGTGAATTTCTGGGAAGTATGAAGAAGTAAACAGGACCAAGAGAATTGCTGTTTTTGAGCAGATAAACTGGATCTGAGAAGACAAAAAAGGAGGTTAGCAACAAAAATCACGTAGTTATATTAGCATAATACAGGGGTGTTCTTTTGGGTGTGTGGTGTGTGTACAAATGTTTGCTTGTGCATGTAAGTGCCAATTCCCGTGCCTGTTTGTGTGTGTGTGTGTGTGTGTGTGTGTGTGTGTGTGTGTGTGTATGTGTGAGTAAGAGTGTGTGTGTAGCCAGGCATTGGTGGCGCACGCCTTTAATCCCAGCACTCAGGAGGCAGAGGCAGGAGTATCTCTGTGAGTTCGAAGCCGGCCTGGTCTCCAGAGCGAGTGCCAGGATAGGCTCCAAAGCTACACAGAGAAACCCTGTCTCGAAAAACCAAAAAAAATAAAAATAAAATAAAAGAGTGTGTGTGTAAGCAAGTGTGTGTAAGAGTGTGTGAAGCAAGAGTGTGTGTGTAAGCAAGTGTGTGTGTGTGTGTGTAAGCAAGAGATCAGTGTCTTCCTCAATCACTCTCCACCTTATTTTTTTGAAACAGGATCTCTCCCTGTACATAGTGCTCACTGATTTCCCTAGGCTGGCTAGCTAGTAGGTTCAGGAATCATCTGTTCTGCCTCTCCAATGATGGGATTGTAGACTTTTTACATGGATGCTAGAGAAACTTTGAACAGAAGCAGCTTCCTTAAAATAAATATATTTCCTCCAGAGGGGACTGGTGTGAAGGGGGAATTTCTCTCCTGGATGTTTAAGATCACAGAACAATTACCTTGGTGGTTCCAGCTCCATACTTTCTATGGCGGAAAGGGGTAGGGATGGGCTGGGGTGGGAGAGGGGGAAGGCTCTATGCTGTCTGGTCCACGCTATCCACCCAGCCATCAGAGGTTGGTTCACACAAGCTAAAATGTTCTTTGTCCCTAAATATTTCTAGGATCACACAGACCCAACCGTATTCCAGAAGTTGTTTGCAGGCTCTGGATGCATATCCTTGCTTGGAGGAGTTTAAATTCTAACAAATTCCTGTAACTAGGAAAACTTTGAACCTTAGCACTGCTTGGCTCTCACTCCCACTTCAGATCACTGACATTTTAGGATAGGGGTAGAGTGCTTAAGACAGAGGTTGCTGTGTAGCCCAGGCTAACCTAGAGCTATGATCTTCTGTGCCACCAGCCTGACTTCTGGTTGCCAAACCTTGAATGATGGATTGTATATTCCTCTGCCCTCTGATACAGAACTCTAAAAGCAATTTCTCTTTCTTTGGTGACTCAGGGCACCAGTATAAACATTGCCTTCTCAGTTATGACTCCAGGTAATGCTATTATGTGTATCCATATCTATTATATAATCAAAAACACAGCATAAGTGTACATCCATAAGGTATGTACACTCTGGATATGGCTGTGTCTTAGTTACCTTTCTGTTGCTATGACAAAACAATATGACCAAGACACTTTATAAAAGAAAGCATTTAATTTGGGGCTCACGGTTCCAGAGGGTTAGAGTCTGTGACCATCATGGCAGGGAGCATGACAACAGACAGGCAGGCATGGCACTGGAGCAGAAGCTGAGAGTGTGTATCCTTGTCTGCAAATAGGAGGCAGAGAGGAAAAGCTAACTGGGCTTGGTGTAGGCTTTTGAAACCTTTAAGCCCGCCCTCAATGACACACCTCCTCCAACAAAGCCTTCGAATCCTTCCCAAACAGTTCTATCAACTGGGGACCAGGCATTCAAACTTATGAGTCCATGGGCACCAGTCTTAGTCACTGTTCTATTGCTGTGAAGACACACAGTCTTAGTCTGGCTTACTATTGCTATGGTGAAACACCATGACCAAAAGCAAGCTGGGGAGGAAAAGGTTTATTTGGCTCATGTGTATACATCCATAGTCCATCACTAAAGGAAGTCAGGACAGGAACTCAAATAGGGTGGGAACCTGGAGGCAGGAGCTGATGCAGAAGCTGTGGAGAGGTACTGCTTACTGGCTTGTTCATCATGGCTTGCTCAGCCTGCTTTCTTACAGAACCCTGGGCCCACCACCTCAGGGATGGCACCATCTACAATAGGCTGGGCCCTCTTCCATCAGTCACTAAGAAAATGCCCTACAGCCGTGTCTTATGGAGGCATTTTCTCAATTGAGGTTCCCTCCTTTTTGATGACTCTAGCTTGTGTCAAGTTGATATAAAACTAGCCAGGATATGCTGGGTGATGGTGGTGTATACCTTTAATTCCAGCACTCGAGGGTGGGGGTGGGGGTGGGGGCAGAGGCAAGTGATCTCTGTGAGTTCAAGGCTAGCCTGGTCTACAGAGCAAGTTCCAGGACAGCCAGGCTACACAGAGAAACACAACAAACAAACAGACAAAAAGCTTGCTAGGACATACACCATGACCAAGGCCACTGTTACAAAAGAAAGCACTGGGGGCTTGCTTGGTTCCTTATCACAGCAGAGCGCCTGGCAGCACACAGACATACATGGTGCTGGAGAAGTAACTGTGAGTTCTACATCTTGATCCTCAAACAAAAAGGGAGAGAGACTCTGGGCCTGGCATGGGCTTCTGAAACCTCAAAGCCCACCGCCAGTGACACACCTCCTCCAACAAGGCCACACCTCCTAATCTTTGTAACCCTTTCAAACAGTTCCACTCCATGGTGACCAAGTTTTCAAATAAATGAGCCTATGGGAGGGGGAATTTTTGTTTGCTTGTTGAGACAGGTTCTCAATGTAGCCCTGGCTGTCCTGGAACTCACTCTGTAGATCGGGCTGGCCATGAATTTAGAGATCTGCCTGACTCTGCCTCCTGCACTCTGGAATTAAAGGTATGTGCCACCACTGCCTGGCCACCACAGGACCCTTCTCATTTGAACTACCACAGGCTGATATGGATAACTGCCATAAACATTCTTACCTAGTTCCTTTTAAAAAAAATCTTCTAGTTGGTTTTATTTTTATTTTAGGAGACAGAGTCTCACCCTGTAGCCCAGACTGACCTTGAACTCCTAGCAGTCCTGGCTTCAGTTTCCCAAATACTGGAATTACAGGCCTGTCTTAGGGTTTTATTGCTGTGAGGAGACATCATGACCATGGCAACTCTTATGAAGGAAAACATTTAATTGGGTGTGGCTTACAGTTTCAGAGGTTCAGTCCATTATCATCATATTGGGAAGCTTGGTGGCATGCAGGCAGACATGGTGCTGGAGAAGTTGCTGAGAGTTCTACATCTTGATCCACAGGCAGCAGGAAAAGGCAACGGCAAAGTGACCAGGCTTGAACATATATGAGACCTCAAAACCTCCCAGTAGTACTAATCTCCATGAGCCTCTGGGGCCATTTTCATTCTAACTGCCAGAGTTATACTATACCTGATTTGCTTTCATTTCTTTTTGGTAAAATACCTATGCGTGGAGAAAATGGGTCAGGGAACTTTTAATTTTATTAGAAGGTTCATTTTCCCAAATGGTTACATAGGAAACTGGGGAGATTGGCCAGTGGTTAAGGGTGCTTGCTGCTCTATCATGATAATGGGAGTTTGAATCCCAGCATCCTCATAGAGTAGTTCAACACAACCTGTATTCCTAGTGCCAAGGAATCTGAGGTGTCTTTTGGCTTCTGGGGATTTTTTGTTGTTGTTCTTAATCACATGGATGGATGGATGGATGGATGGATGGATGGATGGATGGATAGTTGTGTGTGTGTGTGTGTGTGTGTGTGTGTGTGTGATAGCTATAATAGCTAGCATATGAAAGTCAGAGGACAATGTGGAGGTGTCATTTCTCTCCTTCTACCACATGGGATGGAACTCAGGTCTTTAGGCTTTGTGTCTGGTTACCTATCCTTCTTTTGATCCATTCTTGCCAACCCCACCTGTAGCCCTGACTGACCTGGACCATGCCATATATAAAAACCAGGCCTGCTTCTGCCTCCTGAGTGCTGGGATTAAAAGTGTACATCCCCGTGTCTACTTTGGCTTTTAAAGTGGATTCTGGGCATCAAACTAAGGGCATCTTCAACCACACAGTGAGTGTGAGGCTCACACATTCCTGGCACCAGGGTGTGGCTGTAAAGCCCCACATACCTTTCTCATGGTTTCTGTTTTTATAGTTTCCATATGTGGGGAAAACAAGACGGGGGTTACTCAAGGTCAATCATGGCAGTTAGGACTCATTGTGTAAAAGAACACAACTCACAAACAGCTGGAAAACACTTGAGAAGGAGGAGTAGGAGAGGGGCTTAATAATGCTACTACCCCAATCCTCAATTTGACGTGAGTTGTGTAGGGAAGGCCACGCCCGGATGGGACAGTACAGATACTGAGCAGTGGCCCCATGGGACAGTGTGTGGTTAGACAAGAAGCATCTGCCATGTCGACAGCAGCAGGGCCTGTGGGAGAGCATGCTGGCTGCACCCCTCCCGAGGTATTCAGGGGGTGTGGGAGCTGAAGAGCCCAGCTTTGGGGAGTTATTTTCACAGCTCTCTCCTTTGGTGGCCTAGGTTCTGTCCTTCACCAGCCCTAGGCTCAGTTCTCCTATCAGTCAAACAGAGATGTGTCTCTGTGGCCTTCCTATCAAAGGAGATGGTAGCCTCACAGACATGCTATGAAATGTATAGAAAGTGCTGGTAGGATGTGGCTGCTGACCTGTTATCGGGCTCCTGCTAGCTCTGTGTGGGGTGGTGGCGGGGCTTGGAAGGCTCTAGGTGTAGGGGCCCTTTTCTTTTCTTTTTTGATTTTTGTTTTTCTTCCTTCTTTCCTTCCTTCCTTCCTTCCTTTTTTTTTTTTTTTTAAAGACAGTGTCTCGCATGCTTTTAATCCTAGCACTCAGGAGGCAGAGGCAAAGGTATCTTTGTGAGTTCAAGGCCAGCCTGGTCTACAGAGTGAGTTCCAGGACAGCCAGAGTTACATAGTGAAACCCTGTCTCGAAAAACCAAGGGGAAAAAAAAAGTAAAGACAGTGTTTCCTATGGCCCATCCTGGCCAAGAGAACCATATATAAAGTCCAACTAAACTCCAAGATGCTGGCTAAGCCAGTGGTGGGGTTATGTGTGGTGGGAGACCTCCTCTAAATCCTGGCCATGCCTTCTGGTGTCAACCCACATTAAAGGACGTGGGAGAAGGAAGCATTGCCTGCTTGCCTGCTTGCCCTGTATTCCTTCACCTGTTAGAACTAATTTCTTGGGATTCCTAAGTCAGACTGAAGACCAGCAGCTCTCCACGAATCCTCTTGGAGGATTCTTGGCCAGAATGGCACTACCTCAGGGCCTGAACTAATTTCTTGGGATTCCTAAGTCAGACTGAAGACCAGCAGCTCTCCACGAATCCTCTTGGAGGATTCTTGGTCAGACTGGCACTACCTCAGGGCCTGAACTACCACCAGATTCTCCACTTCCCATTGGGAGACATCCATTGTCAAACTACCGGACCACGTTCTGTAAGTCGCTCTAATACGTCTTCATTCTGTCAGTTCTGTTCCTTTAGAGAGCCCTGACTAATACAGATGACAACTTGCCCGAACTTCACCAAGTGAGTTCCAGGAATCCTCCGGCTTGTCATTTTATCCGATCCTCCAGACTCCTCGCCCCCTTCTTTGCCTCTGAGTAGGAATTAGAGCCTGATGGCAGTCTTGTGTGGTGAAAACATCCCCTGTCCTCAGAAAGGCTTAAGAGACTCTACCTTTGCCATGTGGGGGCCCTGATTTCCTCTCTACAAAGCCCCCCTGCCATGCTGTCTGCCTCTGTGGCTGGGGTGTAGCTCGAGCTCCCCTCAAAGCCCCCCCCCACCAATCTGTCCCTCTATGGTGTTAAAAACTTTTTTTTTTTTTTTTTTTTTTTTTGGAGACAACAAGGTCTTTGTAGCAATGGATAGCCTGGAACTTACTATATAGATCAGGTTGGTGTGCAATGCCATGGTTGGTCTGTTAATGAATTTAATAAACTCCATACTCCCAGTGATCCCTCTCAGTGTTTCTCTGAATCCCCATCTGAGACTTTTCACTGGGACGTGAAAAGTGTTCAGGCACTGGTGTGCCTTCCTCCCATGCCGCCTGTAGCTCCGGGCCCTGAAAGACAGGCAGGTGACAGGAAGAAAGATCCTGGACCAAAGTCTGTGATGCCAAAAAAAAAAAAAAAAAAAGTCCCTGTGACTTCCGCCTGAGCAGCCTCCAGGTCCTCTGCTGTGGGAGGGGGAGGCAGGAGGAGCCCTGTTGTGACTCAGCACAGAAGTCAGAAGTCCAAGGGGTTTCCCCAGTTTCACCACCTGGTTGTCCCTTGGGATTCTCTGATCTGATCTAACAGTTCCTAGTGAGGATGTCCAGCTGAAGGAAGGGAAGCAGAGGCCTGGAGGGCTAACCTCCCAAAGCCACATAAATGTCCCCTCCTAGTCTGGCCACATTGCAGAACGATTCCTGAGGAAGGAGTGGAAGAATGGGGGTGACCCCCAACATTTGCCCCAAGGTGAGTCTGAGCATGGCCCCTAACTATCTTCTGTATTTTTTGCTCTTTCTGAAGCCAGCTCTGTTTTGTTTGTTTGTTTGTTTATTTAGTGTTTTTCAAGATAGGGTTTCTCTGTGTCCTGTAACTCACTCTATAGTCCAGGCTGGCTTGAACTCACTGAGATCCACCTGCCTCTGCCCTAGAGAAGTGAGATTAAAGTACTCAATTTATTCCACCACCACACAATTATTTCAAATTTTAGGCATGGTCTTACTTTGTAGCTTAAGCTGGCCTAGAGCAGTCTGTGAACCAGGCAGGCCTAGAACTCATGTCCATCCTACTGATTCGGCCTCCTGAGTATTGTTATTACAGGTGTGAGGTATTATGCACTTTTTGTTTTTGTTATTGTTACGATGTGACATGCTAATTCTGTGCTCTTTGTTTCTGTATGGGACTTTCCCACATCCAGTCCAGTCCCCGGCTTCCTTTTTCTCTCTCCCATTCTGCCCTGGGATTCACATGTCCTCAGGAATTCCAAGAAACTGAGCAGGGACAGCTTCTGGGTTGGGCTCTGAGCAGGGACGGGCTGGCATGTGACTGTGACTCAGAAGCCTGAGAAGTAGGCACAGAGCACATTGGCCCTTTCCTGTCCCACCACCGCTTCATGAGGTAGAGATTTTGAGAGCCAAGTTCAAGATCCGTCATCTGGGTAGCAGCCAGACTAGGCAGGGTGCCAAGTCAGATCCCTAGGGCTCTTCATGTGGCATGGCCAAGTGACCTAGTAAACCTTTTCCTCCTGAAGAGTCATGGGATCACCGTTAACAGACCTAAGAGAAGAGGGGAAGGTTTCCTCCTGAAGAGTCATGGGATCACCGTTAACAGACCTAAGAGAAGAGAGGAAGGGCCTGAGTAAAGCCTCCATTGGCCTGGAGGAAAAGGAGCTTTAAACTAGGGGGTCACGATTAAATACATTTTATATATATGTACAAAAATGGGATCCTAAAACCCATTCTGTATAATTAATATATGCTAAATACAATTTTTAAAAGAGGGATTAAAAAAATACTTCTTTTGAGTTAAATTTGCATTTATTTATGGTGTGTGAGGACAAGTGTGTAGAGAGTCAGAGGCCAATTTTCCTCCTACCGTGGGTCTGAGGATTGAACAGGGTTACAAAGCAAGTGAATTTACCTAAGGGTGAGCCATCTTGATGGCTGCACTATTGTCTTTCAGCTTCCAGCAAGAGAAGCAGAGAATAACAGGGCCCGTCTCAGGCTGGCTCTCCTCTGTTGCTGAAGGCAGGGTCCAAAATGAGGGAACTTCTTAGGACCATGGTCATAGGTCCTGTATGGCTGCTGTGGTCTTGAGAAGAGCAGGTACTCTGCATCTGTTTTGGAGCTTGCTCAGAATGGTGAGTGGGCTAGCCCCTTGACTCAGCTGGGTGACAGACTGGAGAAGGGCCAGGGGCTTAAGGGGGTCTGCAAAGGGTCAGCCACAGGTTTCAGATTTCACCATGACCTTGAAGACTGGGGCCTGGGAAACACCTCTCTCCTGGCTAATGCCTAAAGTCTTGGAAACTAAGGGAGTGCCATGGTTGGAGGCTGACCAGGGATGTCTGGATACTGATGGCCTCTGAATTAGCTGCTATAAGTTAAGGTTGGATAATCATGACATTTCAATCTTGCATATGTGTATATATGATTTCTATGTTCCTTTGTTCTTTTTACTTGAGACAGGGTCTCATGCCATCCAGGCTGACCTCACATTTGCTGTGTACCCAAGGATAAACTTCAATTTCTGATTCTCTTGCCTCCACCTCTGGAGTACCGGGATTACAGGTATGTGTCACCATGCCCGGGTTTATGATGGGCTGGACTTTGTGCTAGACAAGCACTCTACCTACTGAGCTGTGCATGTCTTAAATCTTCCAGAAAAACCTCAGGGTTTCGATGTTTTAAAGATTTTTACTTAAAAATTTTACTTTTGTGTTTGACTGCATGTATGTGTACCAAGTACATGCTTACTGACCTTGGAAGCCAGAAAGAGGATGTCAGATCCCCTGGATGGTTACAGATGGTTTTGAGCTGCTATGTGGGTGCTGGGAGTCAAACTCAGGTCCTCTGCAAGAGTACCGAGTACCCTTAACCCCTGAGCCATCTCCCTGTCCCGTTTCTATTATTTTAAATTGTATGTGCCTGAGTGCAGCGCCGCTTTCCAGCCAGGTTCCAATGTTTTGGATGTCAACCCCACATTTCTATATATGTCAAGAATTGTGCAGCCAGGCATTGGTGGCGCACACCTTTAGTCCCAGCACTGGGGAGGCAGAGGCAGGCGGGTCTCTGTGAGTTTGAGGCCAGCCTGGTCTTCAAAGAGAGTTCCAAGACAGTCTCCAAGCCTACAGAGAAACCCTGTCTCAAAAAAACAAACAAACAAAAAAACCCAACCAAACAAAAAAAAGATGTGTACCAACACCACCCAATTATTAAACAAAAGCAAATAGCTGTGCAAAGTACAACTGCTCTAGAGAAAGCCTCCAAAGCAATAAAAATTATGCTTGCTTAAAAAAAAAAAAAAAGAATTGTGGAGCTCAGGGCTGGAGAGATGCTTCAGTAGTTAAGAACACACACTGCTCTTACAGAGGACCCAAACTAAGTTCCCAGCACCCATGTCAGGCAGCTCACAATCACCTGCAACCTCAGCTTCAGGGGCTCTGGCCACTGCTGACACCTGTATGCACTCACATACCCACACATAGACGAAATTTAAAAATAAAATAAACCTTGAAGAATTGTGGAACTTACACTTTTTTTTTTCTCTCCCCTGTATCTGTGTCCCTCTTGTTTCTTTCACAACCTTTTGAGGCCATTAGGTAGCTAGTATGGGCCATAAGGTGTCCTACCAGAGGGATGTCTCTTATTATTGGGAGGTGTTTGGCTATTTACAAATGACTAGGAAATAGTTTTTCTCTATAACAGCCACAATGCCGTCTGGGAGACCAGACAGAGGTAGCCTGGAAATAGATCTCTGAATCATGAATGATACCTCGGAGTCAAACCTATTTCGTAAGAGGAAGAATGTAATGGAATTACCTGTGAGAGTGTTCTATGGCCTTCTGTCAGGGGCCTCCCTAGGGAAATGCCTTTCTGGGGCTGGTCTTCCAGAGGACAGTGACTTGTACATCCTTCCCCTGGGTCAGAAGGGAGGTAGCCCCCATTGCTGTCGGGCTTCTGTGGCTGCCCGAAGAGATGTCCCCAACACACGCTCTCTAGAGCTCGAGCGAGCCCCCTTGCCTGGAGGCTTCTCCCTGAGCGGAGCCTCCACACCTACACCCTTCCCACAACCTCCAGAAAGGTAAAAGTGGAGAGGGGAGCCCAGTTTGCATGGATGTATCTTACTATCTCTGACTTGTCCAGCTGGAAGGCACACACATACCCAAGGTTTGCAGCAGACCCCGGATGTTATCCCTGATGACGACTTCACCACTCTCCTCTCTGCTTTCTGACAGGAGTCAACTGTGCTGGCTGAGGCCAGGAATGGTGGTTTCTTGGGAGGAATGTATTTCTGGTTGCCTGCCTAAAACTACCATTTTCTGCCACCTGGGGTTGTTGTAAAGCCTGGCCACATCCCACCTGTTTCTCAGTCTTACTATGTGAAAGCCTCTGGGGTAAAAAAGATGGCTGGACCCAGGCGCCCATGAAGCTCTGGCTCTCCTTTTGAAAGAGCAAAAGCCATGCTTTCCCTTCCCTTAGGAGTTGAGCTCAGGTCCCAGTTGTGTACCCCCCGAGCTGGATCTTCTGACTCCTCTCTTCACCCTCTGTAAGTGACTGTTCTCTGAACCAGTAACTGCCATCTTTCAGAGTTCAGTCTCACCCCCTTGCAAAAAGCTCACCCCAGCTAGGTCTGTTGATGGTTCAGACTTTCTCGAGGAGGGGTGGGAAGAGTCATATGACCCTCAACGAGTACCCAGGTGTGGCCTACTACCTGCTGTATACAACTGTCTTACTTGCATGTGGCCTGGGGGAGGGACCAGTTACTTAGGTGGGGGCAGTTGAGGGGAGGGGGAGTTCATCTACGTGGCTACAAGGAAGTCCTCAGTTCTGCTGGGTAAAGGCTTTCCAAGTGCAGTTTTTTGGGGGGAAGCCCCCACACCTCTATAAGTGACCTAAGCTCTGTAAGGAAGCTCAATGAACACATTGCTTTCGTAGAACGAACTTTGGTGGAATCCTGCCTTGAGTTGACATTGGAACCCTAAGAATTTTAGCTCAAGACAGGGTCTCTCCATATAGTCCTGGAATTTGCTATGTAGACCAGACTGGCCTTGAGCTCACAGAGATCCACCTACCTTTGCCTCCTGAGTGCTGGGATTAAGGGCCTGTACCACTATGCCCTGCTGCAACACCAGTCCTAAGGGGCCGGCTCCAGCTTCCTTATTAAGTAGGGGACTGCAGAGAATTTCTCAAGTGCTAGCTACTGATGGCTAAGTCAGGATAACACAGAGGGTTCAAATCACAAACCAATGGAAAAGCTGTATTCTTTGAGAGACCCTGTCTGTATACACTCACCTACAAGGTGGCTGAATGATTTGTGTAGACATACGGAAATGTGCCTTGACTCAATGCCAAGAGAAGAAAAACACAGTCTTTATTTATTTATTTTTTTAAAAAACTTTATTGCGCATAAAACAGACCATTCCCTCTTGTGGGTCATGTTACCATCTTTCACAAAAAGGTTTTTTTTTTTTTTTAAATGTGGTACTGGGGATTGAACCGTGGGCCTTATGCATGCTAAGCACACATTCTACCACTGAGCTATATTCCCATGCCCTGATACGTGTTGCCTGCCCCCAACTCGTTTCCTCTCCTGTCCCGGTGAAAAAGGTCTTATCTTTTAAAGTCTATAGTTGCTGGTCAAAATTATCTTTAGGATGGCTGCTAGGGGGAAAGGCCCAAAGATATCAGCTGAGCAGGGTTAGAACCCGGGGTTCTGGCCCGGCTCTTACTGGGGAGCAGGGGGCTGCCTTTTGTCTGCCTTTCACGGGTAGAGGCTGGTGCCTCATGTACGGTCCTTAGCCTCGAGTTTGGGCTTACTCAAATGCACTCTAGCATCTTATGCATGTATGAAGTGTGTACACACCTTTTTCTTCCCTGCCTTCAAGTGAAGACATAATCCCTGGGAAGAACATCTGGCTAGAGAGCTGCATGCATTTCCAGAGGTGGAGAACACTTCACGTTGCGAGTCCCCCGACCACTGAAATCAACTGCAAACTAGTGGTTACAAACTGGGAGCCAAAAAAAAAAAAGTGCTCTATAAGAACCCCGAAGTCCTTGAACTGTCATGGATGGAGAGCTGGGGGACATGGCCCAGGCTGGTGGATTCTGTCCCCTTTCTAGTGACTGCAGGATGCAGTGTGTGCTTTGGAAAGATCAACAGGGTCGTGGTTGACCAGACAGTGGTGGGAGGGAACAACTGGTGCTCTGTGAGGCCACTAGAGGCGCAGCGTGCCCCTCCCTCCTTCTTGAGTCACTCTGGAAATGGTTTCCTTCTTCTGGGGTAGCAGGAATGACAGGGCTGAGCTCCCTGGGGTTGCCAGTGGCACTGGGGAGGTGGACAGGGTTAAGGAGAAGGCCACACAGGCGATAAAGGTCCTGTCTAAAGTCCAGTTTGATTGGCAGATTGTGGTTGAAAAATGGAATCCAGAACATCCTCCTCTCCCGGTTTCAGACAGAGAATAAAAACAGCAGTGCTGCCAGGTCAGACCAGGAAGCGATGACATCAGAGCTGTGGTGGTTGCTAGCAGGACACCTGCACTTCCACGGGAGAGATGGCAGCTTTTGCAGAAAGTGAAGAAGAGTGAGACAGCTGTTTGCTCCTCCGGAGTTAGATGGATGTTCGAGTTGAGGCACAGTATGGTTCCCAAGGGAAGTCCAGGGTGAGTGTGGACCCTTGGCTGTGTCACCCTCAGGAGCCTTGAAGGGCTGCTAGGGATGGCATGTTTTCTGCACCAGCCCCTCCCACCAGGCCCAACTGGCATGCCCTTCTCCAGATTGGTGTGGCACCAATGCACTGGTCCATGTGCTGCTGTTTTGAAAGAGAAGCACCCTGGCCCCCACCACCAGTCTCTGGGTGAACCACGAGAAATGAACAATTCGGCTTATGGAGCTGGTTGCATGGTGCTTGTTGGCTCTTGCCGGCCAAGAAAATCCTAGCACAGGCAGGGAAGATCGGAGTGGCCAGTGTGTTAAGGGAAACCAGCACACACACTCCTGTCTTGCTGGACCGGGCATTGTCATCAGCCAGCCTGAAGACAAGGTCACACTCTACTTCATCCCAGCAAGAGTGAAAAGGGGCTACCCTCAATCTTTAACATATGTACAGGAGGTAAAACCTTGGCAGCAAAACTGGACCAAGTGGGTTCCACAGAGCTGCGATCCCAATAGCACAGCCCACAGTAGCCTGTCTGTCTCCAGGCCTGGCTTCCTAGTGCTGAAATGCAACTTCATAGAGGGGCGGCTCTCCCGTAGGAGTCCAGTGCCAGGTAGGGACAGGGTGCTGGGTGGAGGAGGGGACAGAAAAGCTGTGAGCAAGGACCCACAGGGCTTTGAGCTGCTCCCTAGTGCCAACCAGGTCAGTAACACTATTAAGAAGGCTAATAAATAGATGCATGTAACGAGAATCAGGTCAGTTCTGCATCAGGCTGCATGGGACGTACAAAGACATCCCAGTCACTCCTACACGCAGGTGACAGGCAATCAGTGTCTCTAGTAAAGGTATAAAAATGAAGTCGCTTACTTTCAAGTATTAAAAAAAATAAGTTAATTGACAAAAAGGGTCCGAAGTGGCTGAGTGTCTGGCCAGGTTGTCAGCTTCCTTTCAATGTGCAAACACAGGAAAATGCCAAGGAGAGCCATCTCCTGTACTGATGCAGGTGCTGGCCAGGGATGGCGCCTGTCTGTCAATGAGGGGAGGGGAGGTTGACATGTAGGGCCTCCCTCAGCTCTCCCAAAGTCAATACTTTCCAGTGTCAAAATGGTTGTGAACTAAAAGCAAAACACAGCAATCCATGGGCCTCAGGCCACTGCCAAGGTGACAGGCCTGGGGCACTTGGCCACTGGGAATCCAGTGTGTGGTGGGGCTGGGGACAGAGCCCTTCTTTGCCCTCCTAACTTGCATAATGAACCTGCCTACTGTCTGGCTTCCCCTGCAATGGGAGGGTGGGCATCACCCCCATGGGGGCTGCTCTCTGCTGGATTCCCCTCCATCTACAGGCCTTTCTGTAGATGCGCTTTCTTTGGTGGTACTTCAGGGAGCGTGAGGACAATGGCTGCTCTGCTCTTCAGGTTCTCTGTGGTGGCAGTGGCTCTGAAGAGGAGCCACTTCCCTCTCTCACCAGCAGAAGGAAGGAAGAGGTGCCAGGGACCTGCCCTCAGGGACCTGCGGGAGTTTCCCCTGGGGCACATGTCAAGCAGGCCCATCTCCTCCCTCCTGAGTGGGAAGTCCAGGTGGCCTCTCCTAGGAGGTGGAGTCACCTCAGATGATGACACGCGCCTGGGGTTTTCCCACAGCCCAGGTGTCTGGGTGCCACTCTCCAGGGATGCCAGGCTTCTTCTGAACCTGGATCCGGTGGTTTGGGATAACGCAGCCGGGTCAGGTGGGTGCCAATCTACCAAATGCCACGGTAGTCGGGCTCAGGACCAGTCTAGGCTGAAGCCCTTACACAGCATAGCAGCCTCCAGGTCCTTGTCCTCCTCTTTCTCCCGGAGTCGCTGCTCTTCCAGCAGGGCCACCAGCGAGTCCCTCTGCTCTACCACCTCCAGCATCTCATTCAGGATCTTCTTTTCCTCTGACAGCTCCTCCTCGGTCTTCAGGTGGTCTGCCGAGTGACCGAAGGCATCAGGTGTGTGGCCTGGGATGGTGGCCCACCTCATCTTCCCACCCACTTGCCCTCTGCTCACCTTCCACGGCCATGCGTTCCCGCAGCTCCTGCTGCAGCCGGCTCTGGCGGTCTTCCAGCTCCAGCTCCCGGGCACTGAGACAGGGAGAGATGGCCACAGTGACTTTTGGACTAGTCCTCTCTAAGGCCCCAGGGAAATGGCTCCCCCACCCCCCCCCCCCCCCCCCCTCCACCTTAGCTGGTCTCAGTTTACTCACAAAAAAAAATCTTTACTCACAAAATCATCAGCTCTGACTCGTAGCGCACCATGGCATTTTTCTCCTGCACCAGCTTGAACCACTCCTGCATCAGCTTGGGGTCATCCTTTTTGCCCATGCCTGTGTGAGAGACTGAGGGTCAGACAAGAGGATTGGTCTCTGTTTGCCCAGCCCAGAAGGATTGTCACACTGGGGCAAATGTGCAAAGAGCCGAGCAAGAAGCTGCCGGAACAGTCCCAAGCCAGGTCCAAAGTTTGCCTACAGCTCTGTCAGGGAGAAGGGGACAGAGAACGACAGGCCACTGCATCGTGTCCACCCCAGGGCCTGACAGACCTAGACTTTCCATCAGTCCTGCCCAGGCCTTGTTCTGGGTGACTGTTCCTTCCGTACAAGCTGAACACTGCTCTGCTCAGTGACGCAAGTGTGCGTGCATATGAAATGGAGTGCTCTTTCCTTGCCACTAGGTCTCTTTGGAGAAAAACAGTAAACTACACCTTGCCTTTAAGATAAGGTTTCATATATCCCAAGCTGGCCTTGAGTCTCCATCCCCACACATTCTGAGATTACAGGCATGTGTACCACCAAGCCCAGTTCTACACCTTGCTCTTAAGTTACTTTCTTTTAACCCTGTTTTTTTCCTGGGCAGCTGCCTCTTTCAGGGGCCCCCGATACTTCACTACTTCTCAGTCAGACCAGGAAGATACCATCTCTTTGTTTTGTTGTGCATTCACTTAGACATATGCATGACAGGTAAGGGCTCTACCACTGAGCTACACCCCCTGCCCTAAAATATCCTTTCTTAGCATACAACCCAACAAACATACGCTGTAGCAGAATCTGCAAAGGAGACACAAGGCATACAGATGGCTGTCAGATTCCTCACCAGCAGACCTCAGAGCTGAGGAAGGTTCCTACTCTTTGGCCACCTGAGGACTTGAAGGTTCAGGGACTTGAGTTGGACTTGAAGGTTCAGGGACTTGAGTTGCCCTGAATCAACATTTGACTGACACTGCATCTCCATTGGGAGTAGTCACACCCCTGGGTTTAACTGCAGCAGGAGCGTGGAGGAAGGACTTTGTAAGGAATCAAACCACCCAGGAATGAACAAAGTCCTGAGTGTACAAAGCTGCTCAGTGCCTGAGTGACCCTGCCTTGGAAGCACACTGTATCAGTGGCTCCTTACCCATGTGGACATAAACTTTCCTTACTATTATTTTTGTGTGCTGGGGATGGAACACAGAGCCTCCTGTGTGCTAGGCCATGCCCCACCACTGAGCTACACTCCCATCCCAACATCAAGTAATTTTATACAGACCTCAGGGTGTTTGGGGGCTTCCTGAAGTTCATTCATTCACAGACCTCAAGTTAAGAGGTGTCAGATTGGAGCCCTCTAAGCCCACTCCACTTTCTTGGTCAGATGGTCCAGTCCTGAGAATTACCCTAGCCCAAGAGTATGGACAGCATCCTCGGGTAGGTGCCATTCTCATGTCAGACTGGCACTTGCTCTAGCCTGCTTCTTCCCGACTCTTTCTTTCATACTAGTCAAAGGCCAAGCTCTTTCGCTGTGTGCTGGACACGCCTCAGGCCTAAGCCTAAGTCTTTAGCCACTGACCACACTTCGGAGACAGAACTGACACACGCAAGGGTTAGTATCAGACCGTGCCAAGCACACACACTCCTGCTCCTGACGTTGGGGGGGGGGTCCTGGCCCTGAGTTCACTTCCATCCCGGCCTGTCGAGCCTGGCTACAGGTCTGGGGGCCCAAGCTCTCCTTCCCCGTTCCAATAGACTTGGGTCTTTGGCTTCAAAGCAGCCTGCAGCCCAGTTCCACGCATTCCTTCTGGAGCGTCTCTGCACAGTGTGCCCATGTGGCCATGGAGATGAAGCCCTGAGACATGCAGGCTGTCCAGAGTGGCAAGCTACGAGCGTACCAAGTCCATCCCTCCTTCCCACCTCCCAGTATGTA